TCTCGATAACCGCTATTTACTCCGCAGATTGTTGGTGCTGCGGGACGCGATGCGGAGGAAGGGCTAGCTTGGTGTACCCGTGGACCCGTTGGGAACTCGAATCGCTTCTTTATCGATTCGAGATGACGGCCCGCCACTACAAAAACTAAATTCAGCGACTTTTGGGAGAAACCGCTCCTTCAAGGACAGCATAGTTGCGTATATCGGATAGACCAGGAACTCATCACTGGTGTTCCTAGCTATCGAGCCGTCCCGGAAGAGCGGATTACTCACCAGCCTTGCCCATTTCTTGGCTTTAGGGCTGACATGGTATCGGAGGCGGCGGAGACAGACTGCAGGAATGCGAGTTGACATTCTGCATATGCGACGCGATCTTCTCTTATACTGGCATGATGCTTGCAATCAGCCCCCAACAGCCTATGAGAAGTGTCATCGGATATCGGAACAGATCGTCGATCGGTCCACCCTTGAGAATGACGTCGAACATGGCGACGAAGAGTACAACTCAATACGCTTAGATCAGAGCATCGCCGAGAGCTAAAGTGCCGATATGGCACGTATCCAATTCCACGGAAAAGCTGTCTGTTCAAGTCGGCATCTTTACCTGGGTCTGAGTCGGCGCCAATGCTCATAGTGAGTGGTAGGCGCCTTGAGGTGCAAAAGAAGCGAGCTTGCGATTGAGCAGATCCGGGGACGGAAGAACGATTGGACGAGTGGGTTCACGATTTTTAGATATAGACGAAATGGAGTCTCAGAGCACCTGCCACCCACTATTTTTGGAGCCGAGTCTGAGGCAAAATACCAGACAGAGGGTTGCGGGTGACGAAGGCCAGCGGTAGCGTGATTCCAAGGTTAGCGACTGGCGTTAGCGACGGCACGTCGTGCAACGTCGAAGGTCCTCCAGGGCTCCGAGACCACTAGCGCAGAAGGCCCACCCGTACCTGATCGAGGGATCCATGGACACCACTACCGCTGGTTAAGAATGAGCGCCCGTGAACAGGTTCACCGAGATCATGCCGATGGCTCGGCTTCCCCCCGCCGCCGCACCACCAGCGTGCCGTTCCCTCATCCGACAGACCAGCATTGGTAAGCTATCAGAGCGCGTTGACAGCTGCTGCGCAGCTTGCGGCAATGCGCCTCTTCCTGCAGCGGCATGCGAAGTGCTTGCCTCATAGTTGGTCGCGGTATACGCCGCCGGCCAGCATCTCACTCAATCATGTCGCGTGGATCCTCCCCGGGCATGTTTCCCGCGCCGTCATAGCCTCTTCGACAAACTACAGCACTCTGTGCCATTGCGTACCCGTACCACGCGTTCGATTCAGCGCGCCGGCCAGGATTCTCTCGCTTGAAGATAAGTTGGCCATGGTTCTGCTTTCCACGGTTGCGAATGGCGCCTACCATGGATCGACGTTTGATTCTTCACTTCCCATGACAAACAGACCACCTGCATCATCACACTCTCAACACGTCCAGCTTCACCACTTCTAGTCTATTCAGATATCTCCGTTATTCACCAATTCATTGTGTCGTTTCCAAAAGGGTCCATTGCACACACAATCGGCACGAAATCTGGCAAAGCGTGGTAGCGAGTTACCTCAAACCACATATCCTCACAGGCAAATACCGTTAACAATGAGCTTAGTTCTCATACCTTCTAACCAACATCATTCTTACATGTCGGACGACAACTCTCCAATGATACCAGGGCAGCCAGGGTACCCAGTGTACCGTCCGAATCAAGGGCAGCCAGAAGAAACACCAGCGCCCGGTAGTTATGGATCTTTTACGCACACATCGCCCACAAGTCCATTATTCCCACAATACGCAGGATACCAGTATATGGGCAATTTTCCGCCGCCCATGTCTCAATCCACGAACTCGCAGGCGTTTGTTTTGGGCGCAAACGTTAACTTAAACGCAGCATCGACTGCGAACACCTTTTACGGCGCCCAGGGCGGCTCAGCATTTACTCCTTCCAATCAGTCAGCAAACTCGATCTCTACTCCGACTATTTCCCCGTCGCAAACTCAATTCGATCCCGCCGATGCGTCCCAATTCTACGAAGGCGACAACGACGACGACGACGCCAAAGGACGACACGACAGTTTGTACCCTAAGGATGAAGAGACATCCCCAACAACAACAACAGAAACACCGTCCAAGAAGAGGCGTCGATCCGAGTACGCCGAACCAGGCTCAGCGCGGGCTATATATCTCGAAAAGAACCGCAAAGCCGCCAGCAAGTGTCGAAGCAAACAGAAAATGGAGCAGGAAGCGCTAGTTGAGAGAGCGCGGGACTCAGAGCGCAGTAACCGCATACTGAAGGCGGAAGTACACATGCTACAGACTGAACTGCGAGAGCTGAAGGAGTATGCCGGTCGACATGCCAACTGTCGGGACCCACGGATAGCAATCTATCTGCAGAGGTTGGCTGACCGTTTGGCTTCGCAAATGGGCCATCCACAACCACAATTGTGAACACAGACTCGCGCAAAAGTTTTCCGTTCAGCGACAGAACCTTTTTCTCGCTCCTCGTGAAGTTGGTCTTCTATCGGCGCGAAGGCGGACACACCTCGGAGCTCCACCATGCTGCTCCAAAAAACGCATCACCACGAATCGCATTCCAGATCTCGGAACTTTTCTGGATCCTGTATTGTAATTGCGTGGGTACAAATTTTGCTTTCCAGCCGGCTATCAGTAATCACAAAGCTCGGTGGTCGGCCTTCACCACCGTCGTGAGTAGAAGGGCTGGGACGTGTTGGGGAAAAAAAAAGGAACTGGAGTCATGGAGTTCTACGGACCCCATTCCCGAGTTGAGTCGGGGTACAATTACAGTCATAGCGGAAACATACCCTTTCTCTGGAATGCGATAAGGAAACAAATACCAATATGAAGGGGTGGAAGCAATCATCGAGTGCATTGCATTAAGCATGTAGATGAAATTACGGATGCTCCTCTAATTTCTCTGAGGTGACTTGTTCCTACGGACTGATGCTATCTAATCAGATGTGACTTCCTAGTGAAGTCGGAAGTTCTTGCTCTCAAAATGAAATGACGTCATTGCCATGGATATGACACTTGCTACCGATGCATCTCGCTCAAGCTTCCTTTTCAGAAAATCTCGGTATTCCGCGTCCCTGGCTATAGGGGACGTACTGGCGCACAGCTTGTCGCTTACTTTTTGCGGGAACGTCATCAGTTCCTATGCTCTAGTCGCTAAATCAGATAAAGTCCTCCTCTTGTTATCATAATCAATACATCCACCCCTGCTGTCTCAACGCCCAGAAGCATGCCTGCTACTTGAACGTCTCGATCCAGTCCTGCCACCAGTTCTTACACCGTTCTTAGCCTCCCGATGTCCCATCATGTGCTCTTCGTCCGCGCCCGTTGACATATCGCGAGAATGTTGAAGCTCCATAGGCGAACCGCTTCGCAGTCTCTTCTGGTGTGCGTCCGTGACCTGACTTGGATGGGTCCAGTTGAAAGAAACCATGACAAAGAACATCAGCAGAGCATCGAAGATGTACAGGTACACTTCGTGACTGAGGAGATATCCGGCGTTTCCTCCGAGGTATTCCACGACGCGGAAGATGCTTCGAACCATGATGAGCGCGCTAGCGAAGTATAAGTTGAATAGGTGGCGCTTCCAGGGTAGTTCGGCAAGACTGGCTCGGGATACGGTGGTCCATGTTTGTACGATCTCATGAGATTGTCGAGACTTGAAGCACGAGAAGGGGCTGTAGCGCCTCTTAAGGGGAAGGTCTCTGGAGACACGGTAGTGGAAGACCGCGGAGACGACGATGAAAAAGCCGAAAAAGAGTAGTTGGACGAACAGACCACCGATGATGATCTTTTCACCGGTATGCAGGGCGTCTAGCGTGCCCATTGCTTGGATGCCACCACCTATACAAATATTTAGCCATAGTCCCGGAAGCTGCGTTAAAGTGGTAACGTACCTGCGGCTTGCAACATAAAGCTGAACACATCTCCTGCTACGAACGTCTTCGTAAGCCACTTGTGGCTAATTAGCGAGTAGCGCTCTCCGTCGACTAAGAGGATTATCCGACCCAGTATGATGTAGATGGAGGCTGCGAATAGTGCCGGGGCAAGTAAGATGAGCAGCGACTGCATAATGAAGGGACCGAGTGCCCAGACATCGTCGTGTGAGAGGTAGCGTCCGATGTAACCTATAACCTCGACTGCATCATGTCAGCAACACCATCGCGAAGAAGGATGGCTATGCAATCTTACATAGACCTCCAATCACTAGTGGTGCGAAGTACCACGTCTTTCTCCTGATGAATTGGAAGATGTGCAAAAAGGTGGTAAGGCCGAATGCGACGACGAAGATGATTGCCGCTATCCGGTTTGGGATGTATCGGTATAGAACGTAGGCGGTTGGGTCGTCAAGCGCTGGGCGATATGGTTCGGTGTCGGACATGTTGAGTTGAGTTGAAGACGAACGCAGGTAATGCGTCCTCGAATGCAGGTGTGGTCATTCTCGAAGTGGGCTTCTCGAACGTTTTAACAACAGTTGCGTATCGCTCCTCGGCCAAGCCGTCAAGCTAAGGATGCGTTCGCGTTCTGGCTGTACGGAATACGTGATGCGAAATACGCTGCCAAGAGCGCTTGCCGAGCCGAGACGTTTTTTTGCGGGCCCCGTATCGGCCGTATGGCTTCTGCCGCACTAGTGGGACGATTTGGGGGTTAAATCGTGCGGCACCCCGTCCAATACGGCGTATCAACAACTGCAGTGCCTCGTTGAGATTGTGCGAATTGCACAGCCTCTCGCGAGCTTCGCAAGCTTCGCCATTTACTTGGTCCCAGATTAGTGATCATTGCGAAAAGACTTCGCCAAAACAACCCACGACTTTAGGATGCGCCAAGAGATGGTTTGCCAAAGCATAAGGACACCCGGTCAGGTTCACTCCCCGCGATAGGATATAACGAGTTATTGGCTGCGACACCAGAATGGATACAAATCGGTGTAACTCAGATCCTCACGAGGCTGTCGGAGTGGTCGTTGCGCTCCCGGCTTGAGCATGAATGATCTGTTGCGGCCAGTCGAGCCATTTTAGAAGATCTGGTGTCGCTGCTAGCAAATGTTCGCAGGCAGCAAGAAGCCATTGGGGCCACTTTACCACCCACCATACCGGGCGACATTGGGCCAGCATTGCTGCAAAATGGGTTGTGATGATGCATGTCACAGGGTTGTGAGCGGCGAGGAGATCGAAGAAATGGGTCTCCAACCTCGCAGGCCAAAGAAAGAGAAGGGAGTACTCGTCGCGATCGGGTGATATGTGCCGAAACCGGAGCCAGGTAGCGTTGAGTGCGTCGATGGCTGTAGCGCAGGCCTCCTTGTCTTGGCTATCCAGTAGGAGTTCCGTGAGTTCCTTCAGTCGAAGAATCTCTTGAGGATTCTCCTCCCTTGCGAGCGTGTCCAACGCATCTAGCGCTTCCGGAGACGCCATATCTGTCATATGAGCAAACACCGAGCTGTCTTTGATTTGGTCCCAGTGAGGTATCACCACAACCTTGATGCCTTGCAATAACATGAAGCAGTGGTGGAGAGCGCGAATGGGATCCTCGGGGCGTTCAAGCTGCGCCGAACCGAAGTTGTAAGTCAAGATTATCGAAGACAGCATGAACATCGGAATTGCCAGCTCAACGTTCGGCGTCTCCAAATTCTTTCGATAAGTGTCCAAGGCTCGACTGATGTGGGAATCTGCCTGGAGCAAAAGGCTCTGCCGCTCGTTGGGCGGAAGCAAGGATGCTTGATGGACTGCTGAAAGGGCGAGAAACCCGCGAAGAAGGAAAGGATAGTCGAAGCCTAGTTCGATGAACTCATTCTGCGGAGCGGCATGGTCAGTTCAACGATCCCACATAGTCTATCGGAGTGGACGAGTCTTACCTGCCAGACGACACTTCTAGTTGCAGGATTTGGATGCAGAGACTTGGCGCACGCTTTTGTCCAATGATGCAGCAAACGGAGGTCTGCGAGCGGAAGCTCGGAACTTGCGGGACTTGCTTCGGGACTTTCAGCATGATGTGTATCCACAAACGGTGAAGAAACGCCTGGACTGTGTTGTGGGGAGCCCGAGTAGCTATCCGGTATTGCTGGGAAATGGCAATGGATGTCCAGGCGAACACAGTTCCCACAGCGCGGGCGCGCTTCATTGCACTGTACGACATGGTAAGCGACGACACGGATCACTGCAGAGGAGCCATAGCTTCGGATGTGTATGGCACTCGAGCACTATTCGCCGGGTAGGTACAGAAAATCGCACAGCACACGGTGATTGGCTGGAGAAGACGGAAGCTGGATCGAAGGTGAACACCTACTTTAGTATGTCTCTGCTTGCATTGGAAGCATCCTTTTCGCGACTTGGTGTGAGTTTTGCGCTTTGCGACGCGCTGTTCCGGCATAGTGGCGACAGCGAGATGGGTATATGAGTGCGATTGAGATGTACGATGCAGGTGATTTGGGCTGGGCGGCGGAAGATCATCGGTTATGTAAGCCGCTAGCGAGCGACTGGCGTGGGCATTTCCCCGCGGACGTCCGTTGGCCCCTTGCTTTCATTCCAGCTTGCTGAGGCACAGCACCAAACACCTGCTTTGTGACTTGCACCGCCGAATCAAGACGCGAGAGAATTCAAAATGAGAAGAAAATGACGTTGTCAAATATCGGTTGTAGACTCCCATACGCCGGACTCCGAGAGACAAACCCCATCCCTGTTCGTGGAACGTCTGAACGCCTTCAAATCCAGATCAACACTCGCGCCGGCTTAGCTACAAGACACAAGCATCATGTCCACCCACATCAGTTCCAGTTCCTGAACTCCGCTTGCGCGTCGGCGTTGCGCCACCCGATGTTCTCCCTGCTTGCTTCCTCCAGGGCAGTTGGCTTCCTTGTCGATTGAGCGCCTGCGGGCGACGACTTCCTTGGCTGGTTAAGACGCTTATCCAGGGCCGCTTGCTGGTTTGCGCGCATCTTTGGGCTTGTCAGCATTGCAAGTATGGTCGAATACTGAGACCATACCTCAGCTTGGAGTTTCGTGCGCTCTTCCTCGCTAAGCTGCGGCTCTGGGGGTCGCTGCGATGCCGACGGCTGAGACTGTTCTTGACCCATGGTTTCAGTCGGGAATGTGCAGTGCGGGAATGGTTGATGAACTCTCTCGAAGTCAATGTAGACTTCGAACGAGATTGCGGTGTCTTTGTTGTTGATATATGCTGCTTGCATATCAAGCTTAGGCCACTTACGGCACGGTTATCCCGTTAGGCAACAACGCCAACGGCACGGCCACACCCTGAGGCGCATCCCCACAGCCTTGTGGTAGATGTACGATTTGCCTGAAATACATCTGCTCAGGCTGTGCATCTTGCATTGAAGAGTTGTCATTGACGATGTCACACAACTCATTGAAAAAGTGGATGCACCTTTCTTCCAACCATGGTACTGGTCTGAGTCAAGCTTACATTTTATTCTTTTCGATTTCATGTGTTACCACTTTAATCCCAGCACTGAACTTGATCATGGAACCGCTCTCACAAATTCAATCAAATCCATACCAACCCAAATCCTGGAATAACGATTGATTTCATCATGCCGAACGCCAACAAACCCTACCGCTGCATCGGCAAGGGATTTTGCGGCAGCGTCTGGGCTGCTGAAGATGGCACGAATCATGCCATCAAACGCGAGGATGGAGGACCCGGACGATCCGTCACCAACGACTACAACATGCATCTGCAAATCATTCGGAGCGCAAACCAGCATCGTCCTTCTATGCCTCTAGCCATACCACAGTGTCAGTCGTTGATATACTCGAACAATATGTGGTGGGTTGAAAATCTCCACCGCTTTCCTGCCGGCTTCACAGAATGTAGAGCGCTTATATCGGAACGCATCCCCAAGATACCTCGATCTATCAGCGACAAGATCGTAGACCTGTTCTGCGCAGGCAACACGCCACTCTTGAATTTTGTGAAAGGGAATGAAGACGACGACTGTTGTCTTATCCGTCCCTACCTAGGGCGACGACGAGAACGCGAAGCAAACACGTCGCGCTTCCAACGCTTCAGCCTCCGAAACGTTCCATTACACATCAACCAGATGGAAGACCTCGGCCTTGATTATGTCGCCTACGCGCGAACTATGGCGGATGCGCTTGCTATGATGCACTGGGGCGCCAAAGTCGATGCTAATGACGTCGAATTCGTGCTTGCGCCTCCGCGAGCCTCATCAACACGATCTTTCCCATCACACTATCTCGGCAAACACGTCATGTGGATCCTCGACTTTGATTGTGTGAGACACATGTCTATGGACGAAGCTGGACTGAAGCAGGCGTGCGCTGCGTTTATGAGGAACGATCCCTTCTACCCACGACCGGACGGCACTGGGACTGCTGACGGAGCGTTATGGTGGCTCTTCAGGCATAGGTTTCTAGAGAGCAGTGCGGAGATATTGGGAGATAGGAGTCAGCATGCAGGCCTACCACGGAGGCTGATGGAATTGATTGAGGAGGAAGGCTGTAGGCGACGGAAGAAGAAAGAGGAGCTACAGGGGCGGGATTCAGATACGGAACAGGATTAGAATACACCGGGGTGTGTTTGTCAGGAACATATATCCAGCTCAATGCTCTTTACTCGAAGGCTTGAGATGATTCAAACGACGATGTTCGATAGCTTCAATGCAGCATTGGGTGCTGTCTCCCCTTCAACTGCTCTAAAATCTCAACAATGTGTCGGCATGCATACCCCGTTCTACTTAATGCGTAAATCAATCTTTGACCTACGTCCCTTCCTGAACGGCATGTCATAGTATTACTAGTCTTCGTAAAGCATACAACAGCCGTAGATGTATTTTAACACGAGTTCCTCTTTAACAACATTGTCTCTTAATCAACAAAGTCGCAGGTTGATGCTCTAGTGGCCTTCCACCAAAAGAGGTAGTTCGCACAGCAATCTCCCAAGCTAAAAACAAACGCAAAAAGCAAAGCTCAGGCTTCTTGCAATAGTGTGCCTCCAGAAGTACCCCGCCATCGCTCCGGGCGCTCGTGGCTGACATTTCCCCAACACCGCCAAAAAGATACTCCCACCCCATTTTCGAACGCAAAAAGAAGGCAAAAAGAGCAAAACAAGCAGCTTGACACGAGTGGGGTTCGAACCCACGCACATTTCTGTAGTAGAGATCCAAGCAGGGCTTAAATCTACCGCCTTAGACCACTCGGCCATCGTGTCTGATGGAGAAACTGGACAAATTTTGGAGATGCAACGTCTATATTGCAAGAAAATCAAACGAGAAGCCGTGCCGCAGGCATGAAGAGAAGGACTTGGTGATGTTTGGTATCTTTGTCGTGGTGCGGGGTAGTAGAGGGGTAGGTCAACTTTGGTACAACATCGAGTTTGCAGTGTTGAAGCGGTGTTGAGGCGAACGCGGTATCAACTGGAGAACACTGCATCAAACAAGACTAGACAGTTGTTTCATCTTCACCAACTTTCTCGAAACACACGAACAGATACATCAGGCCAAACGAGTGCATTAGTTAGAACCGTGCCTAGTTATCCCTATCATGTACAAATCCATAAACAGCACTAGACTATATACACCTCAATCATTACATCTCGATCCAGACCACAAAAACCTAAAAGCTCAATACACTACATCTTCATCTCTCATATCCCCGTCTATGCAACCCATCGCTTACCCAGAGTCTGCGCCGCCTGCGCATCATCAGGGTTGTTCTGCGCCAGCGCCGAAAGAATAGACGCAACATCATCCTGGCGCTTCTCGATATCGCGACGGGCAGCGGCAGCAGCCTCCGGGTCGACCTCGGCGAGTGCGTCAAGGCAGTGGGCTGCATCCACGTCCTGGCGCTTCTCGACGTCGCGGGTCTCAATGTCGCGACGAGCAGCGGCAGCGGCCTGGGGGTCGACTGCGGCGAGATCGTCGAGGCAGTGAGATACGTCCTGGCGCTTGGTAACTGACTTGGGGGTGGAGCTCATAGCGGGAGCAGCAGCGGCGGCGTCATCGGGGTTGTTCTGCGCGAGGGCAGCAAGGATGGAGGCGACGTCGTTTTGACGCTTCCCCATGTCGCGGATGTCGATGCTGCGGCTCTTGATGTCGCGGCGGGCTGCTGCTGCGGCCGCGGGGTCGACCTGCGCGAGGTTGTCGAGGCAGTGGGATACGTCGTCCTGACGCTTGGTGGTGGATGTGGAGGACATGGCCTGCTTGGCTGCGGCGGCATCGTCCGGGTTGTTGGCCTCGAGCGCGGCGAGGATGGAGCTCACGTCGTCCTGACGGCGGAGCTTGACCTTCATGGCTGAGGCGGCGGCGTCCGCATCTTCGGGGTTGTTCGTGCGGAGAGCCTCGAGGATGGAGGCTACGTCGTCTTGGGGGCTGGCTGGGATGTGTTAGATGTGTGTCCAGTGAAGCATACTTCTTTATGGTTATAAAAGCTTACCAGTAGCGAAGACGGCGCTGGAGAAAGCAGCAACGGCGACAAAGGCTGTGTAACGCATGTTTGCTGATTGGAGTTTTGAAAGTATTGGTAGTGAGAGTAGATTGAAACTGAATAGAAGTGACCGGCACAGATATTACAAGATGATAGTACTGATAGGATGTTATTTGCTCAAACCAACTCAAGAAGACATCGAGCTCTAAATACCACAGTCCGGAGAAGCGATACCCGCACCGCCAAACATCTAAGCTTCGCCGCGTCAGATGCGGAAGCTTATCACGAAACCCACCTTGCCTAGTTTCACGGTCTTGGTACGAGCCGAGTAAGAAGATGCACCATTGCAGTGTTCGAATGCATTGCATGTTCCGCAGTCGGCAAGGAAGAGTGCGGTTGTTTGGTTTCCGATGTTCGGTCCTTGGAGGAGGGTTGGAGCGTTCACGTATCGTGTTTCGGAAACAGCCTCACCATCTACCCAGACGCAGATCTGAAACAATGCAGCCTCGGTATCTCTATACGACTTGCGCGGCAGCTCTTGCTTCTTCTGTGACCGTAGCAGGTATCACGTCGATCTGGGATCAAACGCGGAGGCTCTGGAGACGTGCGCCGCGCGGACTTTGCCATGCGACACTGCATGCTGATCTACTCACGGCTAGCCACAGCATTCTTCTACACAGACGATCGCTAGATGCTGCCCTTTAAAGTCATATAGTCTCCATCATTCCTTCTCATACGTGGTAGTGTATTACGCGCGTGTTTCGATCGGGGGAGGGTCGTAGTGACGTGCGGAGTTCGCGGAGGCTCGGATCGCTTTGTAGTCGCAGAGATACAAGCAGTATTGACTGTGCATTGGTTACTATCAATCGACAGTCAGCTCGGTACTTCAGAGTAATGGTGCTAAGCTCGTACCTGGTGTCCGTTGCTTGCTTCGTGCCGCAGGTTGCCGAACGACAACAATGTGAATAT